GTGAGGGAGGGTGCGAGACAGCGCAGCGAGTGTGACAGTGCGGGCCGTGGTGCCACCTTCCTCCTCAGCAGCAGCCCGTGGGCTGGTTCTTCTCGTCCTTTCTGTTTTCTCCCCTTCTGCATTAGCCATGAAAGACTGCTGTAGGCGGCTGTGCCTGGCGAAGGTGTGGCAGACGAAGATTGGAGCCCTGGGACTGCAGACGGGCTGTTGTGTTTTGGTAACGGGGAGCAGCGCTGCAGAACCTAGGCCTGCATCCTCTGCCCTGGAAAGCTGTCAAAGGGATGCTCCCAGAGAAACATGAAAAATGACATGAAAGTAGCATTTCGCATAACAAATCCATTACATACCTAGCTCCTGCTGATGGAGTGAAGTACTCCAGTATGGAAAGGGTACACGAGTGGGTGTTGCAGTAAGGGGAGTGAAATTCAAAATGTTTTCAGTTTTATGCTCTTTGGACCTAGGAAGTCCAAGAGAAGCACTTGGAGTCGCACATCTGGACAGCCCATGTTAGCCATAAGGATATTGTCATTATAGGTATAATTATAGTTTTAATTGCACAAAAGGTCTGTGCACTTAGAAAGTTCAGTGTGCAAGCTGGATAAATTCATGTATTTTATGGAGTATGCAGGGCCACATGCAGAGAAACTCCATTGGAAACTCCATCTAAGTTTTCAAGAGCTTAAGTTACCTGATTTTAATAGTGCAGATAGTGGAGAAATGGGAATATGCTCTCTTTTTTGATCCTCTGTTATAGCCTGATACTTCTTTTTCTAAATCTCTTTGCTCTGGCAAAGGCCTTGTACTAAAGTCATTCACTTTCTCAGCACAATGTGTCAGTATTAGGCTCATACAAAAAGCATTTCCCACCATGAAGTTACAACTTTTGAACTCAGCCCTGTCTGCTTGTAGGGTACATTACATGTGCAGTAACAGTTTCTAGAGGGCAAAGAGACACATTTTCACAGTGATATTTTCCTCCATGCAGAGGCCATCCAGCTACATGTTGTACATGTTGCCTTTTAATGAAATCCAAAAATGCTTGATCTTAAAACAATTGAAAGACTATTGAAAATGTAAATACAGTAAGACAGATTGTGCTTTATTCCCTTGCCATTTCTGTGTTTAACATATTTATTTCTTAAGAACTGTGATTATGGCCTAGCAAAAGCAAAATGGATGTGTTTTGTTTGTAGTTGCAGCCTGTGTTCTCATAAATTAGGAATTTCATCCCTGCAGTCTGCCAGCCTCTGAAAGTAAACAGGGTGCATGCAGATACACAGAATTCCTCACAGGCTGAACCATTTGGAGTGTGATCAACATGATGCTGGATGGTGCAGCCCTGAGGTGCTAACCAATGTGAGTATGCCTGGCAGAAGCTGTCCATGAGTCAGACACAAAAAGAGATTATGGCTGGCAGAGAATGGGAGCAGCTCATAATATTTTGGGGGTTAAGCAGTAATGGGCAATTACAGCACATTACTCATATTGAGATTACAGAAGATGTTTAAATGTCATGTTGGCTACTGCTGTCATCCTGTACATACACAATTTTCTCAGAGAATATTATATAAATACCGAAGCGCCCCTACTATGATGTTAGCTGTACCCTTCTAACAAATGGAATTTTAAGGAGATTTTGGAAATCCCCAGAAATCATGTCCTTGCCAGAGTGCACCAATTCCTGAGCACATTCAGCTGTGAGATTTCTGCTTAGAAACACTTGCTTTTTCTGTACTGGGGGGCTAAGCTTGCACCTAGAAATGAGCTGACACAGTGCACTGTCTGTCTGAGCAGCTTCATAGAATCAGTCAAGGTTAGGAAAGACCTCCAAGATCATCAAGTCCAACCTTCACATCAAAAGTGAGCTGTTGCATGCTGTCCTAGCACCCCCTTGATGGTTCTGTTGCCTCATTTCATCCCCTGTGGTGTTTTTCTTCTGTATTGTTCCAGAAGCAGGCGGCTGTAGAGATTGTCTAAGTGCTTTCTGCTAACCCAGCCATTGTAGCACGAAGGGTTGTGCAGGAGAAAGGCAAGATGTGCTTTTGCCAAGAGCTGGGTGCTGCTAATGAAGGGCCTGCACCTCAGTATCCTCACAGGCAGAATTTCTGCCCACTTCAAAAGTTTTGACCACGTATCTTGCCTTTTTTCCTGAATTCTAGATCGATACAGCTTGTTAGCTGAATTAGAACCTATTCTGGAGCTTCGGAAATTCGAAAAGTTGTAGAGTCTGGTTTCTTTCTTGACTGCTAATATGTTAGCAATTAACTCCAACAGGACACTGCTCTGAACATAAGGGATTTTTCTAGACAAAGAATTTTTCTCATGTGTTGGCATCCTACATCTCAGACCCTCATCATACACCAGCCAGCAACTGGTATATTTATGTGATATATAGCTGAAAGTGAGAGAGCCAGAGTCTTTTGAGCTCTTAATATTTCCCTCATTTGAGCACAGAACAAAATGGCTTCACTCAGGCTAATAGCCACAATTCAGTGTTTATCCCTGATAAAACATATCCAAGTAAATTCTTACCCTGTATCTATGCTATCAAATACTCCATTGCATATTCCCAGGCTCTGATCCTCTTATTGCCCATAGGCAAATGATTGTTGATGCCCAGGTCACAGTAGGTATTAAGCAGATATTTCTGTCAAAAAAAAGCTCAAATATCACCGTGGAAATAGTTTGCTCAAAGGGTAGTTTGTTCCCAAAGACTACAGATGAGGGTGCACCAGGGTTAACACTGCACAGCTTGGCTTGGCACTGGTGGTCCTGCATTCTGGTGCATGCATTTACCAGTGTACGACTAGCCCCCAAGCCTGTTATGTAAGCCTTCCATGACTGCAGGTAATCCTCTAAGTATCATCAAAATTCTGGAGTGCTGTGGCTGTGAGCCTCCAGACAATAGGATTTTTTCAAGGAGTAATGAGTTGAGAATCTCAATTTTCTTAAAACACAAGAGCTGGTGAGAAATACCTCTCTGGAACTCAGCTGGACTAACGTGAACAATACACCTTAGATTTGATCTGTCTTTGTACCTGTCAAATAGCAACTAGTTTTAAGCAAAGTTTTAATTACTTCCAGCACAAAGGAATGGTGAAAATGCTGATTGCTGTTAAGGGCTGTGCATTTCAGTGTGTTTCATATTTTCTTCCCAGGAGACAGATCTAAAAGTAAAGTACTCAAGAGCTGAAAAGCAATTATATATTATACAGGATGTTTAAAACAGCTTCAAGGCCATTTTGCCAATCTCTCCTTTTTTTTTTTTTTTTTTTTTTTTTTTTTTTTTGGTTGGTCTTAAGGACAACTGGCTCCTTTGCTTCCTTCCAGAGATCTGGCAGGCTGTTGTGCATTCTCTCCTTTCCTTGCAGTTACTAATTTTCTAATTAAGTCTTTGTGCCTGCCCCCATTAGATCAATCAGAACTGATTCAGTTGCCACTGATTGCGGTGGGAACAGGCTCAGGCTTTAAGGGCCAGGTTTGCAGGAAAGCTCAACATCTATAATTGAGGCCAGGTTTCCCAAAGAAGTGGCAAGCGTGTTCAAGCCACTGCTGTAGGAAATGCTCCCAGCCCTGTTTTTGCCATGCTGGCCTCAGCCCTGGATGTAGAACACTTGGAAACTCTGCTTCAGAAATTTGTACTGCCCCAGTCAGTGCAAGAGCTGTCAGCAGCCTGGGGAGAGGCAGTTGACACTTGTCCTGTTGTCTGGATGAAGCAGAGGGTTTGGTGAGTGGTTGAAGAGGAACATAAAGTGCCTGAGATCTCAGGGACATGTCTGAAGTGCTTCTGGTAGTAGCAGGGTGAGAGAAGCAAAAGCTGCTCATCCTGAATGCAGGGAGGGGTTGGAGTTCTGGCCTGTTTTGTGAACAGTAGGGTGTTTTCTTTGTTGTGTACCCAAGTCATCACCAAGTTTGCCAGTTGCTGTCATCAGCAGTGTTGTTTCTAGTGAAGAATAAGGCTTTCCCCAGACCAAACAGCCTTTTATTATTGAGGAACAAGTGTGGCAGTATGTCATCAGTTCTATCATTCATTGCTCAGGAGCCAGTAAAAGGACTCTCATGCTGTACCTTATCAGAAGCACTGGCTTGCTTTATCAACTGCTGAGGGCCCTGGTCTCTGGGAGCCTGCAGGGCTTCCCAGGTTTAGGCATGTTCTGGGGAAGAGAGGGGCTGCTTAGTGTCCTCCCAAAGTGGAAAGAATTGGCTGGGAGCAGCAGCTAAACCTGTTGCTAACCTAGTTTATCTCCTGTATATCAAATAATTTATGCAAGCTGGAGTGTATATAATTGCTTTTAAAATAATAGTGTGGCTAGGATATTTTTAAAATAATAAAACCAAAATGATATAATTGATATGCATCCTAGAGAATGATTTTTTTTAGTTAGTAAAAATATTTTTTTGATTCCCATGACTGAAAAATTCCTTATGTTCTTACAGTAAACAACATACTTGAATGCATACATGTTTGTTTCTAGGCAGTAATGCAGTAATCTATACTAACATTTTCTTCAGCTACCTGTTTTTCTTCTTACTGCTCTTCTGGATCTTCTTACTTCTACTGGATCTTATTGTTCTTACTACCAGCTGTTGAACAAGAATACTCACAGGCTTATTGACTCAGGTGAGTCCTGCTACACTTTTTTTATTCTTCTGCAAATCTTACTGCTTATTAGCATTTTATTCCAGCCCAGTTGTTACCAAATTGCAGATGATATCTGGTAGAATCTAGGGTCCTCCAATAGGTATCTACAAACAGAGGAACACACACACACACACACACACACACCTGCTTAAATGTTTGCTGTTTTGGTCAAATGCCAAAGGAATAGTCTGAAATTCTGTGTCTTCAAACAGTGCCTGTGCTGTTATAACAAAACTTGCACAGATATGTGAAATTTATCCATGCAAAGCTGTGGAGCCAAACTTTGCCATGCAAATAAGCAACAGACCTGTTTACTTAGTCTTATTTCACCTTGGCATGTTGGACAGGTTTTACAAAAAAAAAACAAGTTCACAAAAAACACTGAAGTAACTCTTTCTGATACATTCTGAAAATAAATAGTATTTGTCATTAACTACTATTGTGAAATCCGTGCTGAAGTAGAAAACAATACAAAAATAAACAGTGATAATAAAAAGGTGTTGTCTATAGCAGCTTGTGAGTAAGAGTGAATAGTGGATTTTTTTTTTTCACTGTTTGCATCCTGTGTACTCATTTCATATTACACTGAGAGACTGATTTTTTTTTTCAAAAGGACTGAGAATCAAATCCATAAAATGTTATTGAAACAGACATTAAAGATCCTGTTCAACCCCACCCCGGTGTGGGCAGGGACACATTTCACTAGACCAGGTTATTTAGTACTCCATGCAACTTGTCCTTAAATACTTCCAGGGATGGGGAATCCACAAATTCTCTGGGCAACCTGTTCCAGTGCCTCACTACTCTTACAGTAAGGAATTTTTCCCTATTATCTAACCTAAACCTTTCTTTCAGTTTGAAGCCATTCCTCATTTTTCTGTCACTACATGCTCTTGTAAAAAGTCCCTCTCCATCTTTTTTTGTAGGCTCCCTTCCACATGCAGGTATGTAACTCACCTGGGCATCAAGAGGACCTTGTAAAAAATAAGCTTTCTTGTATGTTGATTTGCATGCCCACAGTTTGCATCTCTCACGTTTGAGCTGCAGCATGGGGAAGGGAATCATGGATTCTTCCTTTCTTTGAGTATTACTAATTGTACAGAAGAGTCAGTATGGCTGAGATTCAAATCTGTGGGCGAAATCAGTCTCTGATATAACTATTCATCTCAGTGAAATTACAGCAGGCTTGATTAAAATTATCATGACTGGTAAATGTAAAGTACCTTAATTTTTAGACTGCAGTCACATAGGCTTATGCACTTACACTGATTTTTATTCAAATGAGACATTTGGTAGAAATTCAGTATTACAAACACATACACACGATTTCTCAGAATTTCATACAATTTGTTCAGAAACCTTGCAATATGACATTGTTCTTTTTGTACTTTTTGTACTATGCGGTATCAGATGGCACTTGTGAGCCTTTTTTCATTTTCCCTCAAGTACTACACTTTCTAAAAATGTTGTCTGTTTCCTCCTATGGCTAATACCTGTGGGACTTGCATCTACTCCAGCAGTGAACAGAAGCCTGAAGAAACCTATGCCAACAAGCAACAGTTTCAAATTGCAGTCCTGATGTAACAATCCTTTCTGTATTATATGTAGAACATACAAAGGTCCTCGTTGTGATGCAAAGTCCCTAACAACTAGAATTTAGAGAAGATTTTATCAGAGAAAATATTCAAGGTAACTTACAGAAACTTGTCTAGTTTAAAATGTTGTACAATATATAGGAGTTATAATCAGTTTAATCTTTGTAGCCCTTTGCTTGTAAAGTCAAAGCATTTAGGATCTTTTACATCAACCATTTCTATTTCAGGATCTGGGACATTTGAAACAGGTCTTGGCATAAAGAAGCAGAAGCTATTCTAGGTTATTTTTTTTCTGCACATTTACCTTGTAGTTTTAAAGTCTGATGTCTTGGGACCTCATAAAGCTCAGAGTAAGAGCACTGTGAGAGAGATCATCTTCTCTGACAGCACAGCGTTCTGGTTTCCAGTCCTGAGAAGATGAGGCTTGTGATATGTCTGATGCTCTTCTTTTCTCTCTTCTTTGGGCCAGCAGGTAGGAGCTGTCTGTGTTCAGCGTTTGGAGTGAAGGATTGCTTGTCTGTCTGCTGCTTCTAAAATAGCTGTGGAAAGCTACTCTCTAGAGCTTTGGAATCTTGTACCTATTGCTAAAGAAGGTGGAATAGTGGGAGGACGACTATACTGTGGGCAATAAACTGTAATGAGAGTAACTTATTTCATGGCTTCTGACAGTGCACTTTTATGAATGTTTATAGAGTCAGTGTGTGCATCTAGAATTGTCTTTGGGTCTTCATATTATTAGATTTCTGTAATACCCACAACCAGCAGTGAGCAGGCTATCTAATCTGTTGAAATAATATGTATTTTTTTTTTCTTTAAATACTGGAAACAGACCTTTCCTTCACAAGAAGAGGAGATGATTTAACTGAAACATAGCTGGTTTCCTGCATTGTAGTCAACATTGAGTGCATAATAATTAGCTTAAGGGTGTATTTTCAGTTTTCCAGTAGACCTTTATATTACTGTGGGAAGAAAATGAACATTTTCCATTTGTAATTTCAGTCTAGTGGCAAAATTCAAATTAAACATTTTAAGGTGTAGACTATTTGCAGCTGCTTGACCTTTGGGCTGTAATGACTTAATTCCCCCTAGGCCGTTTGCCGAGGAGCCACGCCTACTTCTGCAGGGAGTGAGCATTTGTCTGGGACACCTTCAGTTTGTGGCAGTTCAAAATGCTGCTGCTTGCAAGTTAAGGTGCTGTGGCCCATACACATGTTCATAGCTTGCCCCTAAGTGAGATAAAATGTCTTCAGTTAAACTACTTTCATTTAAGTTTGAATGCTTCATTTAGCCACTGGGGCAACTTGAGAGAAACTATGCAGCTTCTGGTGGGTCAGAAGAGTCACTGTGACTCAGGTGTATCTAATCACATCCCAAACCATGTAGATTCTACCTGATCATGAAACCTGCAAACCTGCAAGATTCCACTCTGCTCAAAGTGCAGAAGGCATGCTCAGATTCCTTTGGGCACAGAACTGATGGCTCCAACAGTTTTGGAGGTGTTGATGTTCTGACTTGTATGTGCCGTAGCGTATTGATGTACACAAGGTAAAGGTAAGTACTATCAATGCAGAATTTTTCTCTCTTGGTTGTAGCAAAGTATTTTGTTTGCTTTGTACAACTTCAAAATATTTCAGAAATGTCTTTTCCCTCATTAATACCACCTCCAAAATTTTGTGTTTGTACCAACCAGGTACTGAATGCTAGTGCAGTGACTTGGCAGCACTTTCCCAAGATGTCAGTGGATGCACTGGTGTGTCATATCTGAAGAATTAATCCCCCCTGTCAGGCTGTGGAGAATCAGTCACTCTTAGCCTCCCATGAATGAGGCATAGGTTTCAGGTTTATTGTTGTGTGGCTGAAGTTTGGCAAATCATTGCACATCTGCTGAGCTGCTGTAACCATGCTCACAAAAGCACACCGCAGACACAAAGCAATGTCACCTTACATCTCTTCTCCTCTGGGCTGAGCTAAAATCTCCTCTTATTTTCTCCGATAGGAGGACATCATCACATGATGTGAGGTCACTGGAATCAATTCAGACTTAAAAATCAGGAGTATTAGCCCTTAATTCCAGGTGATTAAGAATGATTCTAGCAGTGTTTTGCAAGAACAGGGAAGTTTGTATTGGAGCCCTGTGGGTGGAGCTACTTTCTTGTTAAATTTCTTTTGCATTATAAAACTGAGTGTAATTTTCCAGTTTCATGCCTGTTCCAAGCTTCTGGGTAAAGTTCCTGTGTAATGATAAACAGTTGCTTTTTTGCATTTGAGTGATAGAGTTATGCTTTGTGATAGGCAATTTCTTAAACATTTTGGGTTCTTAACAAATGAAAGATGCTCTCCACTGAAGGTAAAAGCACGTAGATCAGTTCAGAACTGAACCCTGAAATCCAGAAGCCCAAGTGGTGAGCCACTGTAGTGTTTGTGGTGGGAAAGAGGAATTCCACCATGTGCAGCAGTTATGTTTCAGAAAAGTGAGGGGCAGGGGAGAATATGTGGTAGAGCAGCTCTTTGGGAAACAGCCAGTGATTTTTCCCAGATCCAATCTGAGGCCCACAAGTAAAAGGAAAGATTTCTATTGGTCACATTTCCCTACATACAACTGTGCATGGCCTAAGTCAGCCAGGAGTATAAGTAACACCAATTCCATGGATCTCTGAATGAGGCAGCCGGGCTGTGACCTCTCCTGAATGGATGCTGCAGAGCAGGGCAATGCTACACTGACACTGCCCTCATGTCAGATTATTTTATCTTTATCCTACCTTCTTTCTAAGATTAGTTCTCTGGAAATAAACAATTCTTAAATCTGGGGCCTGAATTAAAATCCTTGTAAACCAAATGCAGGCTTACGTATCTGTACAATAGCCAGTGAGATAAATGTTTGTGGTTGAAGACAGGTGGTGCCCACAGATGTTACACTGCTTTCAGCCTCATTCCCAGGAAGGACTGTTGAGCAGACCCTGTTGAGCTGTGGCCTGAATAGCTCAGCTATTGTTGAGCTCTTTTACATATCTCACCCTTTCACAGGCATTTTATAACCCTTTTGGGTTTCCCTAAAACACAAGTTTCAGCTGTGTGGGTTTTAACAGACAAAATACATATCTTTTTCCTGTGCCTTGGGCCACCCTCAGGCTCATCTAGAGGGGAGACCCTCCATTTTGACCACATTAGCATACGTGCATAAAAGCAAAGCAGAAAGAGCACTTTTACACTGCATTCATCAACACATGAAAAAACAATCTACCAGAACCACTTTTGGGGTTGTTCCATTACATGTCACAAAAAAATTGTCTCTGTGCATGCTGGCACTTTTAAAGCTGCTGCTGCTGACTGAAAAGCTGTTTGCATTACATCTGTCCATTAAGTACAGATTTCCATATGTACAGCACCAAGGTGAACAAATCAAATGAACACCCACACCACAACCAGAGAATTGCTGTAGTGAACACATCTGCCTGAAATTCTCACATCCCCACCCATGTCTTATTGTTGTGGTTTATATTCAAAATACCAAGGTAACACCATCAGTTCTATGAACTTGACCACAATGTTTTGACAGTCATCTTTGTGTTATTGATAAACTACTGCTGTAGAAAAAGCATATCCCCTGAGGCACTAAGTTAGATACAGATGCTTCCTATAGACAAAGTTCAGAAGAGACGTGAGGGCTGTATTTAGGCTGCCTTTTATAGATGTTTCTATTGCTATCACAGCTGTTTACTGGCCAGTCTGAAAGTGGCCTCAATAGCTCTCTAGTGAGCATCTCAGTTACTGTCAGAATCCATGCACTATGCAAAGCAGCCTCAATACAACCCTTTGTCTCAGCTCCCTCATCTATAATGCAGGGACAATAACAAACCTCAGCAAGACTATGGGGAGATGTTCAGATCCCAGTGAAGAGGACAACATGGCTAGTTTTATAGGCAAAAATGTATTGTGCTATATACAACATAGGGGGGACCTGGTTTTAGAGGAGTTTGTCATCTGCAAGAGCTCGCTCCTGATAAAACATCCAGAGTTAAAAAAGGGATGTAAAAGTTAGCAGGAGTGCACCCTGGCACCTGCAGCAGCATTTTTGCATAGTCTATGCTGTATTCCAGCATAGCTATTTCCAGATGGCACTGAGCTTTATAATGTCCTCTTGAAGTTGACTGCTATCACACATATATATCATACAACAAAGATGTACACAAGGATGAATTATTGCCTGTTCTTTGTTGTACATGCTTTCCCAAACATCTGGAGATTTATTTATGTAGCATTTAGTCTTCCTCAGAAGAGAATCTTTGCCTGGAAAAACAGTATATGCAGCAGCTACAAAAGATAAGGAGAAACAGAACAGTATGGCTAATAATGAGAACACCAACAGCAAAAATGTACAGGGTTTTGTCACAGTAATCCTGAGGCTGATGAAAAGGTGGGATGAAATTTGGAAGATACACAGAAAAAACCCAGTAGTTTCCAAGAATGAACCAGAGAAAGAGGAAAAGGCTGAGGGTTAGATGGATGTAGTACTTGTGAGCATTCTGCCTCCAGGGATACTCGTCATCATCGTCATCATCAATCACAACAGACTTGGAAAGCAGCTGCCTCATCCTGGTTGAGTCGTACAGTAGGAGAGTCACCTGGAGGCATTGGGGTAGAAAAGGGAATAAGTAAAGTGGTTGCAGAGAGTCTGAACACCTTCTGGCCACTGCCAGCCTTTGGGTCAAATAAAATCGGGTGTGGGAAAATAGTGTAAGAGAAAGCTAAGGAGCCATAAATGAGGCAGGTACTTCTGGACAATAATGCATTTTTTCCTTGTAGGTTATTTACCAGTGGGGGGTCATACATTGGAAAAAAACTGCTGATGGAAAGGCATGAGAACAGATTGTGTAGGGAGATGGCAGCAGCTCCCACGCTGGAAACTTTTAAGAGCATATTAGAGTAACTGCTAAATTACTTAAGTAGTGTAGTTCCTGCCTTGTAGTGGGTAGATTTTTCTCTTCTAAGTCTATAACTTTTTCCATGGTTATAAAGTTGAATCAGCTTATATCAAATTATGAAGCATATAGACTATGACTTAAACCTCAAAGAAATTGCTTTGGATGCTTGCAATGTACTGTTGTCAAATTTTCTTCAATTAAGTACCATTTTCTAAGATTACCCCATTCCTCCCTACAGTCAAAACTAGCAGAGAAATATGTGGAACACCATGATGCCAGGTGGTTAGAAAGGTCTGGTATATAAGGAAATGCAGTAGGACTCATCAGTGATGCCTGGATTCCACTTGGGAATACAAAGAACAGGTTGATTCACTGGGGTTCTCAGTCATGTTCTCTTTCAGAGAGTTATAATCTGTGCTCATTTTTCTTCTTGAAATGAAAGAGAAGAGCACCCCTCATTTTACACTCTTCTTTCTCCAGAACACTGGCCAAGAAAAACCCGTTTGGGTGTATGTTTTGCTGGTTCAAGTTTTATTCCATGTGCCCCATTTTCAATAGGAAAAGCTTACCAAGAGAACCCAGAGTTTTCTCTTATTCTTATTCTTCCCTGTAAGACTGTTAGATTATACATACATTATTAAACATTTGTTCACAAAACCAACTGGTTTTCCAGCCCAGATGTTGGTACCAGTTTTTGAGAAACAAAGTTTTAAGTCCCTACACCAACACAGACAAAAAAAAAAACAACACGGTATTTCCACTGATGTCTCACATCCAGCTGAGCACTCGAAGTGGCAGGCTTGCTCAAACCATCATCTTCTCAAAGGAACATTTATTTTACACAGACTCATGAGACACAGGAGGGATAAACCTGCCTGGCCAGTGGCTCTGAGGTTTCTGCATGGGGGTGCCTGTGGCCGGACTTCAAGCCTGCTGCAGTCCCTTTAGCTTTCAGCTCAGCACTCAGGTTCTATCAAGCTCAGCAGTGAGAATGGGGTTAAATGGCAGATGAGTATTGGGTTTGAGGCAGTCAGAGAAACCTCCCAGGTAGATTTATGAATCTCAACTGCATCTAAGTAGTTCACGGAAAGTGCGTTTAATTCTTATGGTTATTGCCTTGCCAAGCGTAATTGAAGAAATTGCTGGCAGTTGCTCATATTGTTACTAGCTGCTGAATATACATTTATGGAGCAGCATGGCATGAATTCAACAGGCCTCTCTGGGTGCTCTAGAATGGTTCAGTTGCCTCAGTGAATAGTTACCATGCTTTTGAAAAGACTGGAGGTGGTAAAGAAATAGATGAGGAGCCTACAGACTGCACAGATCTGCGCTAGAATGACTTGCCATTAGATGATATCCATCACAGGACAGCATCCATTCAGACTTCATCCTGCACCCATTCTCTGACCTTTTAACTTTCAGAGCTCAAGTGAGTACACTGCTCAATGAAGTTAGTGCAGTGCAGTGAACAGAATAGAGGGCAGAGTTCAGACAAACGAGAGATTTGAATTTGGCTGCAGGCCAAGCACTGAGATGACACGTGAGTGCAGCTAATCAAGTTCTGACCAAATGCATTGCCAAACTGCAAAATAAGCAGTCCTGCTGTCAACTGAAGCAAAATTCAAACCATTATTTGACGTCAGCATGAATATTAACTGATCTGTTAGCCATTTTATTTATAGTGAGAAAAACTGACTTTAAACCAGGAATAGCTAAGAACCAGTCAACATTTTTATGAAAGCTTCAATCCACTAGTCTTAAATTTACCTTTCAGTTATGCACTAATCTTTTCTAAACTATTATTAGTTGAACCTTTGATTATACAGATAAGTCCACTGGTGTGACCGAATGACTAAGCATTTGCCAGTAGAACTCACAATTTAGAAAATTCCTTGTAACAAGATTAAGCATTTTCTTTTTCTTTTTTTTTCCATTTTCTTATTTACTGGCCAAAGGTCCTTAGAAAGCATGATTCATATCCCAATGATATACTGTGGTTTGGTCAGGTTGCCACTGTGAAGGAGGGCAGCGAATGCAGAGACCTGCAGAGGAGTATTCTTTCCCATTTCTTTCAGTCCTGGCAAAGAAAACAGGCTAGAAATGTTGTGGTAAGGCTCTTCCTGCTCCCTAGCAGCCTGTTAACACCATCTGCAAAGGGACTGTCAGAACAGGGTGGATCTTCAGAGTGAAGGCAGATGAAGCTTTATAGTGACCAGGGTTTATCACAGTTATGAGGGTGTCTCTACTTGTCAAACTGCCAGACTGTGGCTCAGCAAAGATGTGAGCACAATGCACTAGAAGACAGGTAGTTGTGGTTAGAAAATGCTGCATCTAGATTAATAATCCCTGCTGTGTTGCAGGGATTTATTTACTTTGGAAGGAATTGATTCTGTTGCAGTCATTTACTTCTGGCCAGGTCAGAGTGGGAGTAAATTGAACTTGTGAAGGACCATGTACAAACACAAACAGTTTTGTAACATTCCCAAAGCAAGGACAGTAACTTAACTTTTGTCCTGTCTGTATGAAAATAATGGAGAAAGATTGGACATGCTTGGAGGATTGCTTGTGGAAAAAGGACCCCATTTACCACAGGCATCCATGTTAAGTAGTCATTCCCTCAGTAGGGATGGTAGCACAGCTGCTGTGATGCAGGGGAAAATCACACCACAATGTGTGGGACAATGCTGAGCTCATTAGCAGCTCACTTGAC